GCCTTACACGCCAACCTTGAACCAGAGGCCAGCCTTACACACCCCAGCTGCTCTGTTGAGTCACGAAAAGACTACTGACATTCCATCCGAGGACCCGAAACTTTCTAATCACCACAAGCAAGTAATTTTTTGGAGAAAATTCTCAGCTTTGCTGCCGCTTCTCCACTGGAACAGCCAGGCAGACGCCTTCTGGTCATGGGAGAGCAGGAGGGCTAGCACTCTCAATGGAGGTGGGTCTACAAACGATCGCTTTTGCACTCTCAGTGCTGTCGGTCCTTTGGGTGACTTGGGGATGTTTTCTGGTGCTAATAACATAGTGTCTGATATGTAGAGGCCTGATGAATTGCAGCCCCACGCCCTCCGTCACGTTCACTGACCTTCAGGAGTTGTTTCTGCATGTCACAGTCAGACACCCTGCTGAGGACCATCTCCTTGGAGGACTGCGGAAGGCTTTCGACCCAAGGAGTGAACATGGAGGCCATGTTGTCAAGCATATTTTGGGGGGGCTTGGCCTCCGGAGGCAGTTCCCCCGAGGATATCAGACTCGTAAGTATTTCAACGTTCCTGAGAATGAGAGGTTGAAATCACATCAAACCATCTGGCTCCTTAAGAGACCGAAACCCCTTTATCTTCTGGGGAAAAAAAGGTATCGGTTCAGAGTCTGAATCACATCAGAAGAATATTGCTCATCTCTTTCCCTCTTCAGACCTGCTGGTGTGGTTAGACTACCAGGGAGACACAGTCTTTTAGTTAGCTGTGCAACTCCCTACAAACCACGCCAAGAACTCTCCTTAACTTTCTAAAAGATTCAGAATTGTTGCTTGGGACAAAATAGTATCTTCACTGTTGTTCAGACAATTTGACACATTTTTTTTTCTTAGAGAGTTACAATAATACATGATAAGCTTAGCAGATTTGATTTAAAAATCTTCAGATTTTTCCTCTCACTAGTTAAGAGTCACCACTACCTCCTGGAGAGCCTTTGTATTTAAAAGTCCGTTGGGCCCTCAGGCCACAGGCCCTCGGGCCTACTGTAATTACCATTGAGAGGAACATTTTTCTCAGTGGTGCAGCACTGGTCTGTCACTGTGCTGTACTGAGGTAACCTGGAGTGGCAGTGATGCTGAACTCTGGTCACTGGGGTGCCAAATGCCATAATGGTTACCCGTGGTGGACAGTGTTTGGTGGAGCTCCCAGATTAAGACAGGTTTGGAAGTAGAGAGTAGCATCTGTTGCAGACCGAGGGTAAAGTATTTTTATAAGTATTAATAATAAGACAGAACACCTAGAATGTAGAAGAACAGAGGTAAAGCAGGAGGCAGACAGTTCTTGAAGCGAACTGAAGCGCCCATTCCAGCTTCCCTGTGTCTTTATTGAAAACTGCCAGGGAGTAAATCACCAAGAGAATCCAATGCCGGAGAAGCAAAGCTCTTTCTATTGAAAACCTTCTGCTTGACTCAGGAAGGAGGGGTCAGCAAATGCAATGCAAGAATCCTGTAAACGCTGAAGGATTGCCTAAGTGTCTACCCCTGTCAACATTTAAGAGTTGCCTTGGTGCTTCAGGATCAATTCCAGCTGAGACCAGCCTCCCTCATAACCTGAAGCCGCATTCTGTTTATTACAAATATTTAGTATGAAATCTGACTTCCCATACGCATCTACTTTCCAAACAACATGCCGCCTCTGACAACTCTATGAACTTTCAGAAACAGCAATAGCTACAGAAAGGCTTCAGGTCTTTTGTTCACAGGGTCGCTAGGAGTCATGCTCAACTTCACAACAAGAGTCTAGCATTACCGATCTGCTAGAGAAGAGATCTGGGAGGAAACCTAGGTGTCACTCACCTTTAGAGCCATGATTTTTGTGTGGGTGTGAGTTTGAGGGATTTCAAAGCATGGAGAACTCTGAGAGAGATGTCTTCTTGAGGATTCTAGGTTTGATCTGTTGTTAGGTGCCACTGAGGACAACTCACAGGGACCCTATGAACAAAAGATCTGAACCCTGTTCCATCTTGTGTCATCCTCACATTTCCTGACACATGAGAGCCCAGTGCAATAGTCACCGTGTCAATCTGGGGGGTCTTTTTATTATTATTCATGTCCCTTTCCTTCGCCGACCCTCCACTCTTCCCAGCATCATGTCCTTCTCCAAGGAATAGCACCTTCTAGCAATCACTTGCTATGCATCAGAGAGCTGGACAATGACGAGGGATGATAGAAGGAGAACTGACACCTTTGAGCTGTGATGCTGGCCAAGAGTACTGAATATACCATGGACTGCTAGGAAAATGAACAGGTTTGTTCTGGAGAGGATGAATCTGGGCTGCTCCTTGGAGGCTAGGATTCTGAAGCTTCGTCTGACATACTTTGGACATGTTGCAAGGAGGGAACAGTCCTTGGAGAGGGATGTCATGCTTGGAAGGGTGGGGGGGACATCACAGGAGAGGAAGACCCTCAAAGAGATAGATTGATTCAGTGACTGGGGTATTGGAGGTAGGTGTGTCAGAGGTAGTGCGATTGGCACAGGATAGGGCAGACTTTAGGGCTACTGTACATAGGGTCACTATGAGTCGCAGGCGACTTGACGGCACATAACAACAACAACAACAACAACAACAACAACATGTGAGGTGAAGTCTCATCATTCTTGCCTCCAAAGAACAGTCCTGCTGCACCCTCCTCCAAGTTTTCGTCTAGTAAGGGGGCATTTTATCACTATTCACCTTCTTAGACTAAAGTACCATCATTTCAGACTGCCAAGAAAACAAACAGATTCATCCTAGAGAGGGTTAAACCAGGCTGCTCCTTGGAGGCAAGGATTCTAGGGCTTCGTCTGACATACTTTGGACATGTTGTAAGAAGAGACAGATCTTTAGAGAGGGACATCATGCTTGGGAAGGTGGAGGGACAGCGCAGGAGGGGAAGGCCCTCTATGAGGTGGATTGATTCAGTGACTGGGGTAATCGGGATGGGTGTGTCAGAGACAGTGCGATTGGCACAGGACAGAGCAGGGTTTAGGGCTGTTGTACACAGGGTCACTATGAGTCACAAACGACTCGACACATAACAACAACAACAACATGTATCTATGGATGGGTTGTTTTCAACACTTTGCTACTGTAAGTAATGTGTTTGTACAATAGTACTTTCACACAATGGAGTAACATGCAGTCTTCCAAAAGAAACAATTCACTAAACACTGCATAACGTACATCCATCTAGAGGACATTATGCTATGCAAATGAGTGTTATAAGACCACTACTATGCAAGGTGGAGTTTATTCTTTAGTCTAAGAAGGTCTCAATTATCTTCATAGCTGTTTCTTTAAATTTTTAATTGTGCCCCTTTTCAAGTAATGTCCTCAAAGTTTTATACTATCCACATCATAACAGCTGGCACTTTCGAGGATACCACGCTTCCCTTGTCAGTTGGTGGCTCTCTGGGAGTTGATGTGTTGCTACGATGGTGAAGTTATGCCACGGTATACAAAATATCAGCAAGATCATCAAGGTGGGTGAATTTATGTGGAGTTTCCAGACTAAGAGCAGGAAGAAGGATGTAGGGTCTACTCCCCCCACCCCCCCAAAAAAATAATTCACCGCTGTGAACCTTGTGAATAACAGCGAAACACTGATACAGACAGACAGTGTGAGAATATGGTCCCTGTAACATGTAAAGTACATTTTCTAAGAGTGCGAGGAATGCTTTTGAAATGAATGCCTCAAGACTGCAAATGAGAGCTCTGGTGGCCTAGTGGCAAGAAGTTGCACTGCAATCCCAGAGGTATGCGGTTCGAATCCACCAGATGCTCTGCTGGAGAAGGAGGGGCCATCTCCTCCTGTACCAGTTGGATCCAATTTGACGGTACACACAAATAATAAAATTTTTTTTAAAAGAGACTGCAAATTAAGGATGTGCATATGATAAAGGCTCTAATACCGAGCGTCTTATTGTGGCTTACGTTGGACAGATTAATAGAACATTAATTTTAGAAATTGGTAATTTAAAAAAAAAGGTGTTCAAGGAAGTGTAGAATCTTGAAAAGAGGGCAGAGATGTAAATTTGTTATTTCTCTGGAATTAGGGTAACCCTGAATGTTTTCTAGCTGTGCTGATTTTCTAAAATGAATACTTAGAAATGTATGAATTCAAGACTTGGAGGGCCTGAAGAACACTTTGAGAGGAGTAATACCTCAGGATTGACTTTATTGTCCTCTTTTTTTTTTGGTGCAGCTAGGTCGCTCCTTGGGGGCAAGGACTTTGAAACTCCATCTCATATATTTTGGGGAGGTTGCCAGGAGGGACAAGTCCTAAGAGGAGGGCATCCCAGTTGGAAGGGTCATGGTTGGGAGGGTGGAGGGAGACCTTGAATGAGGGCGCAGTGACATGGCAATGGGGACAGGTGTGTCAGTGAGCATGAACGAGGACGGGGCAGGGTTCAGAGGGTTGCTATGAGCTGCCGTCAAGTTGACAGCACATAACAACTACTTTTGCTTTGTGGCAGGGCGGAGAGGGTGGGAGACTTGAGCTTGCGAGTACACTAGAAGTTACGATGTGTGAACATCGGTCTTTCTAGGTTTTGAAAGGCTAGGCGTCTGTGTTCAAAACCTGTCTGAGGTAGGAACCCTTCAGGGGGCTAGCCTTACTTCTCCCTGCAGCGCTGGGTGTTAATTGTGGCCCAGAAGCCCACGCAGGAGATGATGGCAGGCGTGACAAAGAGGAAGGTGCCCAGGTTGAACAGAGTCACCACGAAGGCGTCGAGGAGGCAGTTGTTGGACGAAGGCATGTAAGACGAGAAGGAGGCAATGACACCATAGCCTAGGCCCAGAGCAGACAACACGAGGTTTCCTGCCAGGCACCAGATCTTCATGGAATACACAACCGGTATCTACAATGGACAAGGTCAAGTTTAAAAAGAGGATAGAAAATAACCATAAGGGAGAAAATAGAGAAGGGTATGTGTGTGTGTGTGTGTGGGGGGGGTGTCCTAAGCCATGCCCAAGGATCGATGGGGGAGTGGGAAGACACAACTCACCTTGAAAACCAACAAATGCTGAAGGCCCAGTGACGCACCTTCCAGCAGGAGACACCGGATGAAGAAGGACAAGAGGAGGAAATAGGGGAGCAGAGCCAACACGGACATGACCTGAATTAAAGGGACAGTGCAGTTAACTGGGTGGCCGCACAGGTCCACGGCCGTCAGGAATTTAAAAAAAAAAATCCTGAGCAAAAGTTCAAAGTTAAACAGAAGTTAAAGGATGGTGCTCAGAGGACTCAGGGACGAATGGGAGAAAACAAAAACAAAAACCAAACAAAACTTCTTGGGAGGAATACGAAATGTGGACAAGAACCTGTAGACACTGATGCAAGAACCGAGGCAGGTGATGGGAAAAGCACCTGGGAGTGAGTGGCAAGGAGGCTGAAAAGGGGCAGCTCACCTTGCCCAGACACTTGAGCCCACTGACCAGGATAAGAGCAGTTAGACACCAGACCAGAAACAGGATCAGCAACAGGGTGGGGACCACCGTGCCAGGGTCTTCGATTCTGTCTGAAGCTTTCAACGTCATCCGGTACCAGAAGTACATGGAGGGTGTAGTGCGAGCACACTCGGGATCTGAGGAGACCGGCTGTGGGCACGTCTACCAAAGGATGCCTTCCCTCTTCCCGCCGCGATTTCCTCTTTCTCCTTTCCTTGCTCCAGTTTCGTCTTCCTGCTGCTGAAATCTACTCCCTTCTCGTGCCGCCAACCCTCCCTCTGTTGCTCGCCAGTGATTCCCCTCCGCCTCTTTTAAGATTTCCCTTACTCCTGCTCTTTTTCTCCCCTCACCGAATCCGCTGGCGTTCTTCACTAAGGGACACATATCCCAGGGAAGAGGAAACGTGAAGGACTGGACAAAGTAGAACAGGCTCCAGCAGTTCATCACGTTGCTGTACAGACTCCTGACAAAGCACACCTGAAGACCAGGGAGGAGGCAGCTGGAGAAGGCGTGCACAGAAAGGACGGTGGGGATTGGAAAGAGGACTGGGCTTGGGGGCGTGGGGTGGGGGTAGGAGGAAGGGGAAAAAAAAGAAATAAAAAAGAACGAGGACTAGGAAACAGAAGGGATTTGACTCACGGAAAAGAAGTGGGAGAAACGACGCCAGGAGAAAGGTCTGCATTTGAGCTGGGTATAAAAGGTGGGCCTGGGGAGCTGAGAGATGCTCACCATGAAGATGGTATAACCCAGGCCAGTCATCCACGGGCTGGTGAACTTCCACGCCGTAAGGCCGTTCTGACGCAGCCTCTGACCAAATGCCATCTCCATGAAGAGGATGGGAACTCCAATCACAAAGAGCATGAAGGTGTATATGATGATGAAAACGCCTGTGTGAGGGATTCAGGGAGAGGCTTTGAGGACCATCTCGCCTTTCAGGGACTTCTTCGGGGCGCAGGGTCCAGGAAGACACATGTCCTACAAAGGGCTCTGCGCAGGCCTCAACTGATGTCCAAAACACTCTAACCCATCATTTCCCTTCCTCGGGCGTCTAAATTCTGGAAGACACAGATCACCTAGTTTATAATATCTAAAAGCCCCGAGTTTGCAACCTGCACCCCGCCACGATTCTAGGTGTTGAAGTATCTCACTCCTGTCCTACCCCGAGCACCAAGTCAATATGTCTCAGCAGTCTTAAGAAGTCTGAACCCCGTAAAGACTGCTGGCTTGTTGTCCCCTCACGACCTCTCCAGGTCCCAGGCATCAATACCTCCATTAAGGTACCACAGCTGGGGAAAGATCCAGAGGTTGGTCAGTCTCACAGTGTAGCCCACCTGGGTCAGGATGTACTCAACCTTGCTGGACCAGAGGGGACGGGAAACGTCCTCATGTTTTTTCTTCTTCGTGCCCTGTTCAGGCTGAGAGGAGGTCTCGTGTCTGCAGACCGACGCGGTGCTCCGCTCTGATGCGGAGGTACTCCTTGGCGGGTGAACCCTCGAGGATGTCTTCCGCTCCTGACTCTTTGTGGAGTCCCTGCCTTCTGCATTCTCCTTATTCAGAATGGAAGACAACGACGACCAGGTGACTGTACATTTCAAGTCCCAAGTCTGGACGTCTGAGACGCTTTTCAAAGGCTGTGTCTCAGTAAGTGAGGTTTTTGACAAAGATTTTGAAGCATCCACCTCTGTACTCGTTGCAGGGAGAGAGTCTGCTGAAGCTCCAGCTTCTTCAAGAGAGAGGTCGTTTTTCTGGATAGAGCTTAAAAGACATCAAAACCAGGAGATTTTTTTTTTTAGATGTTAAAACCAAGGAATGACTTACTTTCCGAAAAAATCTCCAACAGATTCTTAAAGCCAATTTTTCCTTTCTGTCCCTACCACCACTGAGATCCAAATACAGGAAAATATCTTGTATAATTTTAAATACAATTAATATAGTCAGGAATTCTATTCACTGAGAATAATGCACACTAGATGGAGGTACCACATGTCATGGACTTTTGAATCAGAGGAACTAATTGAATGTAATACGAAGTTAACACTGTCATTTTGGGAGAGGGGTTTTCTCCTCTGCAAAACACTCTGGCTTCATCAGAAATGCCTTCCTTGTGCTCACTTTCAGCAGCACATATACTAAAATTGGAACAATACAGAGAAGATCTGCATGGCCCCTGGAAGAATGACACGCAAATTCGTGAAGTGTTCCGTATTTTAAATGAGAAAGATGGGATAAATAATGTATACTGCATTGGAATAGATAGATGCACACCCATGTTTATTGCGGCTTTGTTCACAATAGCAAGGAGGTGGAAATAACCCAAGTGCCCATCAACAAACAAATGGATAGAGAAGCTGTGGTATATTC